TCTCGCGAGAAATAACTGTTTGTTCTTGCCATTGCTCGGTGTCAAAGAATAAAAAAGACAACGATATCACCTTTGATTACCTTATGAATTTAGTCAAGGACAAGCTGATACCTTCTAATTCACAGCAAATTTTGAGTTTGGAGAAAGTGACAATCGTACAAGCTATTTTTTTGTGGGAAAACTCAACTGCCTCAAAAATTGTCCAGTTCAAAGAGAAAACAGTTGAGTTCAGCGTAGAGCAGCTATTAGTGTAGAACTCTTCCTTCAGAAAGGGATGCATACCGCTACATTTTACTAACCTTGCAATATTAAACTGATCTAACATAGGAGATCATTTAATTTTAGACTGTTCCTTAATCCTGGACCTTGGTTTCTTCTTTTCTGCAGCACAAATAAAACTACAAGCTTCTTTTTCTACAAAAACTTACTGAAATTATACAAGTATATAAATGCTAATAAAAGATAAGAAGTAAAGCTGGAATCCGGAGTAGCTTAGCGTCACTAAAAGTTAAAGCGCGTTTTCAAATCACTTTTCGTGCTACTACGGAAACTGCGCGCTGGTCAGGCCCAGAGGAACAGACTGAATTTTGCGCGAATTATCCACCAGATTTGACATTATCTTTGCCATTAGTATTTGTTAAACTATAACAGACTCGACTTCGGCTGAACTCGCAGCATTTGCAGTAACTGAAGTCATAATACATTTTGATCATAAAAGTGACTCTGTAACGCGACAAATTGTCTTATGCTCTTGAGCTCTCCACATTTTGTGCAACTCCTTTAAATTCAATAGAAGTCAAAGTTCGTTTGGTAATAAAGCATTTGTTCTCCCAATAGATGATGTTACTGGAAGGAGCTTGAGAATATATCGATTGGGAGTAGAGTACGTAGCAGGACTTCTCCACGGAATTTCCACCAGTATGCTGTAGATTATGGAGGTGATAGATCACAATTGGGAACCTTAGAATTGTTTATCGAAGCGTGTGAGATGTTTAAAATTTACCCTATAACCGCGAAATGGAGCTGTATTCGGTTGGGTCGGAGTTAATTGTTGGTAATTAATCCTCTCTGGCAAAAAATCAACAAGGATTATAGCGGTGCAGGTGTTGCAGCCAAAAGAAGCCGCGGCTAAATTTCGGGAATCCCGAAACGTTTTTTGATTATATGGACCATATCTCGATCCTGAGTACGTTTAGTGCGTAACTCTTGTTCTGTTTCCGTGCTTTTAGCAGCAAGCAATTTAGCATTTATTACGAGAAATATAGCCATAACCAGTTAAGTCAAAGACGAGCTTTATCTTTTTCATCAAAAACTCCTGCTTGTGGAAGTATTTGACACAGTTCTTCTCGCACTTTGTACTAAAAAATTCTTGTATATTTAATGTACATCACCAGAAACCAATTTTATTGTTTCACGATATATTGACGTTGATTTGGGTTAAAC